GGGGGGGAGGTATTTATTTGACAGAGGGGTTTAATGGAGGATTTAGGTAGTAGGCAAGATTTCATGCTTGGCAGAAAATGTGGTAGTATGGGGGGTTGGGTATGAAGGTAGTGGTGGTACAGTAAGGTAGGTGTTGTGGGAAGACTATATTGTAGTGTGATGATGTGTTTAGAGATCTAACTACACACTAGTTGCTCTTACACTCCTGCAAACCATTTATCATATGGAACATGCCCAAGTAGACAACAAAATCCTTTAAAATGATTAATGACCACAACTTCAAGCTGACATAAGTCTGAATATGGCTACATCAAATAATGTTAACCCATCAGTCCACATTATCTCAGTGTCTAAAACCAGACAATTTTAGTACATGTTGGACATTAACAGGCTAAACTAAACAAACTCTTTTCCAACCTGGTTCATTTAGTGATTCAGTTTGTTGGTAATAAAAAATAATATGCTTCAGTCCATTTTGTATGAAAAATTGATCCATATTCTCAATCTAAATGACATTAAAAAGCAATAAATCACAAGCTATTTTGGCTAGATTAACAATGTTTAACATCAGATTAGAGTTATAATGTCTAACTAAACACAGTTTAGATATGTATCATGCAAATAATGTAAATATCAAATCCTTGTAATTAGGGTTTAATGTGGGGTTGTATCTGTGATTGTTTAATGTGGGTGCAGAATTTTACTGGGGATGGGGTATTATAGGGTGTGGTGGGTTTATGACTCAATGCTTCATCACAGTAACTATCATAGAAAATTAGCCACTTGTCAATGTCTATATAACTTTCTGATGTGGGTAAGAAAATTAGCCACTTGTCAATGTCTATATAACTTTCTGATGTGGGTATGGTGAAGATGTTGCTGGGCAGGGGTGGTCACCTCCTGCACCTGGCACCCACATTTTAAGATCTTTCTACAGGACAAATTCAGTAATTTAGGTTTGCCTGACAGACACTGTTAATTTTTCCCAGGGGAAGAGGGATATTTCAAGAGGGATATTGCTAGAACATCACCACCATGACTACTGTTAGACTTTTGCAAAAACATGGAAATTTCAATGAACACAAATAGTTTTGATTGTGCAAGGAACAACATGGAATTGTACTATGACCATATGTACCTGTCTTCCTTCAAGCAATGAGTCAGTCACTTCATCAAATGGGACATCCAAGCAATCAGCAAGTGATTGTAAAATATAATCATGTCTTTGGTCTAACATTGACCGTTTGGCCTCTCTTTCCTCCCGAGCTTTTTGCTGTAGACATAGAATATAAGTGGGTTTTACTATAAGCACTATTGTGCAAAAAATAATCTTAATTATTTTGAGTCACTAAGTGCATTATTTTGAGTCACTAAGCCGGACTGCCTGGCACGCTTACCGAGACAGCCTGGTAAGTGGGATGCAGTTCTCGTGTGTTTATATGAGAAAATTTCATCCTGCTTGCCTGGACAATTTTGCTGTTTTGATATTCTTTTGGCAGTTGTTAAAAATAGCTTGTGGCAGCATTTTGAACTTTCATCCCGGCAACCGGGAGTGTTACATGGAGAAATTTTCATCCTGGTAAGCGAGACCTCGCAGCTTTCAAGTGAGATCTCGGCAACCAGGCCAAGCCTGCTCCATATAAATCCACAGTAATTTTTACTATAAAAATAACTACACAGCGAGATCTCGCTTACCGGGCTGTCTTGCTATTAAAGCTGCCCAGCCCAGCTTACATATAAACATGTGTCAAATCACGCTTCCTGAAAGCTATAGCCTAGTATACAGCCTGTTTGCTATGAGAGCTAAGAAGTCTCTGTTCACAGTGAACTACTTAACACATTTTTAATATTTTCTGGTATACATACTTGAGCAAAGTTTATTTGAACACTAGACAAATGCTCTTTTAAAACAAATACCATGAACGCTAAGTAGTTTTATAAGATACGCTAATGATACTCTATATCAATACTAAACTGTTTTCCCACACAAGAGCTAGGCTGCACACATTGATACACTATATTACTGTACATTGCTTCAATGTTATATAGCAGACAAATGCAACAAGCAATTCATGTTGTATTTAAAGTTACAAACAACTTATAACTAGCTGCAAACAATAGACTGAAATTAAACACGTCGTTACTTATACTGACTTGCTTTTCTTTGATAGATTCTCCCGCGCCAAGCGTCTGAATTCTGGACGTGGTCTTTTTCTGTTCCCGTTCTGTCGAAGTTTGCTCTGCATGTTTTCTAGATCTGTGCCCGTGTTGAGAGCGAGATACTCGTGAGCTTGTTTCCCGTTCAGACATTTTATACTCTCAAAATCTTGAGTACAAACGTCAATTCACTTGCGCGCTACTCGTTCCTAAAATGTCAAGCACTCTTTAGAAAGCGTCCATTTTGCAAGCCCTCATAGCTTGCAAACAAATTTAATACACGTATTACGATAGTTTAGTATTCTTCGTTCCGTGTTCATGATTAAGAGATGAAAAAGAGCTATAAAGCTTTAGTAAAACAAGTAAAATATTAAGCGTTATGAAATATTGCCATGGTAGCACAAGCGACTGAAATATTATTATGAATAATTGATACTTGCCCAGGAAACTCCATGTAAGATTATTCATTTATTCGAAAGTGAACTGAAATAACACCCGGTGGCGGATCCGGGGACAAACTTCCGGGCTATATCAAAAGTGCAAGTAGTTTTACAACATAAGCTGCCGTGGCACAGGCTATGGTTTGAGTCTAAAACGTGTGTAAAATATTGAGCTTTCAAGAGAAGAATCTAGTCTTTTCCCGGTAGTGGAGCAACCCGAAAATATAGAGCCTGTTTGCAGGCTAACCTGCACTTGACCATTACGTTTAGACAATAGGTTAAACGGCAGTTACCAGAGCGAGAAAATAATGTTAATTCTCTTCAGTATATGTAAATAGTCATGTATTTGTTTACAACATTTTGCAATTAAAATAGTAAAATATGACGTACATTCTGGAAGTTGGCACCAGGGAGAGCCACTTTAAATTAGACCGGTGAAATTGCCCTGGGCAATAAACCCCGGCTACTGCATGATTTCCGCTTCCAAAATGGCGGAAAACTTTCAAGGGTCCGCGCAAAACGAACTCATACTTTCTCGTTCTTTTCCATGCCAGCTTATAAAATGGAAAGCATCTGTTGATCAAAAAGTCTCTAAAGGTTCAATTCTTGCTGTGTACAAGAAAATATCTGGAGAAGTTTCTAACAAATCGGAGATAGTTGTACTTCCGAAATTAAAATCTCATGTTGGCGGTTCGGTGAAGCGATTGCTGGTTGCCGAAGGAGAACATGTTAAACCAGGGTCTGTAAACATTTAGATGTAATTTTTTCATTTCCAAGTTGTAGTTTTATAGTTTAATTTAAGTCATTAAGCATGCTTATATAGTTTATATGCGTTTGTAGTATTAAAAAAATACTAAAATAGGAAAAAATTACAAAATATTTTGCGTGTTAAATTGGACAAGTTTGGGCGGGAAATACAGGTGTCCCCAAATATTATTTTTACAAAGATAACTGTATAATAAATGTTATTTAATAGTTAATGCTTGTTGTGTATTATTAAATACTGATTGGGAAACAATAGATTATTTAAGTCAACAATTTTTTCAACACAGCTGCTTATTGAGAGATACAAAGTCCATCTGCAAAATAAAAGCTAAAAAGCAGAACTTCAACATCTCGAGTGAAGGCCCATCGTCGGGAAGTTAGTCTGTCTTGTTATCCTCGCTACCTACACTTGCACCGACTCTTCAAGATTATATCAACAATATTGCGACTTAATAAAACCTGTTGCCAAAATAAACATTACCCCATGTCATGCAGAACTCGTTGTGGACGATGTCCTTAAATAGACCTTATGCATAATGACGTTGCAAGGCTTGATGCTGATCTTTATAGTAGTCATCAGGCGTAAAAAAAATACCTGTGGTTCCGGTTTCATATCGCGAAAAAATTAGGGTCGGTAGGCCGGAAATAATTTTTTAAAATATTTTTTTCATGGTTTTTTCAATAATTAGTGTGACAACAGACGCCATTTTGGCAGCAGCCTGCAACAACCCGGAGAAAATAGGGTCGCACGGTCAATCGCGTTGAAAAAATAATAGGGGCGGCAGAAAAAAATAGGGTCGGTCGGGAACCGTAACCACAGGTATTTTTTTTTACGCCTCACACAGGAAAATTAAATTAAACAATTCAAAATGGCCACTATCGAAATTTTCCTGGGCAATGACTATTAAGACCAGCATTCCTCACGAGCATCAAGGCTCGTGATGTCATTCATTATGCATAAGGTCTATTGAACATTTATTTGGTGACTTGTATGCATGCATGCTATAAGGGCTATCTACACGATACAACCAGTCGTATAAGATTGTCATTCTGGTCTATGTACTTGAATAAATACAGGTCACATTTCAAATTTTGCCATAACTGATGAACAGGAATAGTGGCATCAGCAGTCATTTTCATACGCCAGATTTACAATTGTATACGGCTAGTTGTATTGTGTAAATGGGCCTGTATATGGCAATGCAATCAATACGATGTATGTATTTTTAGACAAGCTGTAATATTACTGGATGTTTGTGAACACAAAACAGTCATGAAAGAAATGTGTGCTGAATGCGGAGCTGATTTACGACAGTAAGTACAGTCCTCGCTGTATGCGGTTCATATGAACTGGTAATCATGTTGATACCGTCATTTCAGAGAACCTGGCATCCCTGGACAACTAAAGGAACCTGTCAGCGCTTCGGTCGCTTTGGTACACAATATTCCTGAACTCAGAGTTAGCCAAAAGGTTTGAATCCATCCTTGCTACTTGCTGTTGCTTTCCAGTAACCGATTCTAAAACTAAAACATTTCTTCACTACATTTTGTAGGAAGCAGAGATCTTGGCCACAAAAGACAAAGTGACTTTACTAAGAAATGGAAAACTAGTTCTTCTAGTAGATTTAGATCAAACATTGATTCATACAACAACTGAAAATGTACATCCAGATATGAAGGTTGGAAAGTTGCCGAGGACTTTGCCTGATTTATACTAGAGATGAACCATTAACTTTGTTACTAGTGACTGTGTATAGGGTTCTCCGGGCCTTGCCCAGAAATGTGCTTGATTGAGTGTGCATCTTTTCAGAAAATATATGTGCTGTACATATGACTTTTATCAAGGGCTGTTTTTCAAGAAACTATTTTAAGGCCACATTAAATTTATTTTATGGATTGACTTCTTTTTACCTGGACAACTGTTACTGTTATTACATACAGGCATTTGTCAACAACAAATGCGTAATTGATTCTAAATTCTCGGTTTAGTAAATGTGTGAAAAAATGCCTTGGGTCGCCAAGGCCCACCATTTGTCAAGCACACTTGTTTTTGGCAGGGCAAGGCCTGTTTTCCCAATGGGGTTTTGTCTCATGTATGCATACATGTAATGTACCATAAGTCTTGACACATTTATACAAAGACAGTATCTTTTCTTTGCTCGCATTCACTCTGAAGACAGACAATCAGTCTCTAGTATAATCTGGTCATTGTTGCAATTCAGACATATCTGAACATACAGTGAACAATGTTGTGTGCTTGTTTTAGGATGTGTACCATTTTCAATTGCCTGGTCAAAACTGTTGGTATCACACAAAGTTCCGACCTGGCTGGAGGAAGTTCCTAGAAGATATGTCAAAATGTTTCGAGCTTCACATATTTACGATGGGTTCACGAATGTACGCGCATACCATAGCGCGTATGCTTGACCCTTCTGGTGTCCTATTTGCTGATCGGATCCGTTCACGTGATGAAAGTTTTGATATGTTTTCCAAATACCGTGATCTCAGGTTTGTTAGGGACGGTTCGAGAATAAGGTTCAGAGAATGCAGATAAGTTTCGTAGCTAGTAATTGACAGAAAACCTAAAGTTCAGTTATATTTCTAAAATGGAAACCTCCCAAAAGGTGCTATTTCTAACTCTGATAATCAATTGATACACTTCTTTAATACATAATACATGCTGCAGAAGAAAAAACCCATGGATATGGATGGTACTGTAATTTTTAAACCTATGATTAATGTGCAAACCTTTCCCTTCACAAGTAAAATTCTGGTGTTAGATAGAGTAAAATAAATTTAGTTGCCTTAGGTTGCATTGAGGCTTAGCAGTTTAAACAAATACAACAATGATTGAACGATGAACAAGACATGAATGACAGTAAGAAAAGAGCTTAACAGAGAGAGAGGAAATATAGAAGGAGTCTTTCTTAAAATGACATTTACGCATTTTGTCATTCTTTTCATGGTTTCTTTATTTAGAGCACTTTTTCCATGTGATGATTCAATGGTATGCATTATTGATGATCGTGAAGATATCTGGGATTGTGCTCCAAACCTGGTCACAGTGAAACCGTACAGATTCTTCACAGGCACTGGTGATATTCATGCCCCTCCTGGATCTGAACAAGCCTTCACCCACCCCCCTGCCATACCATTGCACGAGGATGCCTCTGAAGTTGAGGTCAAGGACAGTACAGATGGGGATAATGATGAAGACGAAAAGGCCAGTAAGGATGGTGGAGCGCCCACAATAAAAAATTCCCCTGACGGTTCTCAGAAAAATGCCTCTGAGTCTGAGAAATTTGGAACCAATGGGAGTTCAGGAAAAGATAAGGAAGTCCATGAAATTAACCACAATGAGAAAGGAACGCGGTGTGATGACACATGTGAAGGAAAACATGACAACGAAGCCACAGGAAAGGAAGAAGAAGAGAAGACAGATAGCAATGAAATACAAGATGTTGAAGGTCAAGATTCCGAGAAGGAAAACCAAGAGGCCAGCTCAAAGGTTTACAAGAAAGCAAACGACGAAGATGCCGTCGATGGAAATTACATCGAAGATCACGATGATTATTTATTGTATTTAGAAGAAATTCTTCGTAGAATTCATGGCAGTTTTTATCAAGTGGTGGCATGGAATAAACAATCTGAGGAGAAAGGGAGCGACCCCACTACTCGTGTTGCACCAGATTTAAGATGTATTGTTCCAGAATTGCGACGAAATGTTTTGAAAGGCACAAATATTGTGTTTACCGGGGTTATTCCGACTAACACTCGCCACGAAGACAGCCAAGCTTGGAAAATTGCACAGCAGTTTGGAGCCAGTGTTAGCAAGGATCTGTTGACGCAGAAAAACAATGCTGATCGGAGTAGACGCACGACACATGTCGTCGCTGCTAGACCAGGCACCGAGAAGGTTTGCCACGCGTTACGCTTTCCCAGTGTCCGACTGGTAAACCCGAACTGGCTGTGGACATGCGCAGAACGTTGGGAATGGGTGGACGAACGGTTGTTTCCGATTGAAGACTACCATGAGCACAAAATTCGCACAAATGATACTCCAACCTTATCAAGACAAGGCACGCCGAAAGGGCAGCATGGAAAGGATGACAATTCTAAGAAAGGAAATTTGTCAGATGAAGATTCTGCGGAACACATCACGGATGACAATATGAGAATTGTCCTAAATCCATTCCTGAGTTTCTCAAGCGGCGAGATGGACGCGATGGACAAAGAGGTGGAAGATTTAATGAAATCGAGTGATGAAGAGGACGATAAAGACGACAGCAACGAACAAATTCTAGGAAGTGTATCAAGTTCTAGTAATTCAACTGAAAATGGTGATAGTTTGCCGAAAATAGACCATGCTACGGGAGAGGATATCCCTGATGGAATAGATGTCCCTGATGGAATAGATGCCCCGAAAGGAAAAGCAATCAATTTTTCGACAATCAAACAAAATCGCCGCGAGGATGAAGGTAGTCCATCAAAGCGTCGTAAGCTTGATTTTAAAGTTGGAGATGACGATGGTAGTGAGGGTGAATTTAGTAGTGATGGGGGTAGCAGTGGATCGAATAGTGGGGATGATGATGGTAATGACATGGCTGCTTTACTGGAGGCTGAATTGGCTGAGTTTAATTAAGTTAGTTTTAAACCTCAAATTGACTGTAATATCACTTCCGACACTTATTGTTCTGTACCGTTCTTACAGTATTTTTAAACTCACATGTTACTGTAACATAGAATTCCGTTCAAAAATGTTTGTCAACATACACTGTAAGTTTATTGTTTAGTACAGCATATGTGTACAGTTTATTCCCATTGATGATGTTTACAAATTGCCGCAAATTTGTAGGATGTTTACACTTTGACATATTTCCTTTGTTATGCAGACGTTACAAGAATACAAATCACAGTGAAGGGCTTCTAGACATGTAGTATATTGTATTGATGGTTTTCTACATTTAAGAAGTGAAAGATATGTTATATTTTGTAGTCGCGTAACTATGTTTGCACGCGTACAATTTAGGCGCATATCACACAAGATTCTTCTAAGATTTTCCAAGTGTAAGCGCATCAAAATTGTTTCACAATTGATACCGGTCTTTATGGCGCTAATTATGTTTAGTTATTAGCTAATTATTACATAATTTGCTAATTATGTAACAGTTACATAACCGCCCGTTTCGCAGTCGTGCGGTTTTGTTCAGATAGTTTTTTCGGATAAAATCAAAAAATTTGCTAGTTGCTTTTGTCACACCATAGTTCATTGAGTCCAGAGCGCTGTATCATTTCTCGACAATTTCTCTTCCCAGTTTTCCTGATGTTCGCCGAAGTTGCCTTTGTCGTACGCGTTCGGAACACACTCGTACACAACCCGCAAGTATTTATACACCTGCGAATTAGTGACGTCATCAAGGAATAATCGGGTGGCATATAATTCACAGGTTGGACGCCAATCACAAATCTCTTTTATTTTCATTACCACGTGATCATTGTTGTCAAGGCTATACTGACGTACACTGTGGTTGCTAGGGGCATCTTGAGAACACGTGATAAAATCATCTCTACCCCAGAATGCATTGGTAATATTAATCTTTTCGTTCTGGTTACATCCTACCCACAACCGTTTGTCTTCACAGATAATTTGTGTTTTCTAAAATAATAGAAATTATAAATACTTCAGTTTTATTCACATGCGTTGCTAAATTGTTAAAATGTAACGGTTATTTAAAAACGCCTCCGATATTTTTAGTGATAGTGTTTGCTCACTCTTTCATAAACACGGGAAATGTTTCTTATTGCTTACCCCTGACAAAGATTGATCCGTGTTATAGTTTTGCTGTTGCGCGTTTGTGTAACTTTGATCATCAGTAACGCCGTAATCTCTCGCGTAATTAGCATAATTGACGGCACCGTATGTCCTTTGATATCCCGGAGCTCCTGGCTCCCCTGGAGGACCCGGAGATCCGGTCTTTCCAAAACGTCCTTCGAGACCAGCTGAACCATTCTCTCCAACCGGACCTTGATCACCCACGGTCCCTCTTCCCCCGGTTTTCCCTGAAGAACCGGGCGGACCAGGGGGGCCTTCACCTCCTCTGACAAGCAATCCCAGTGAGATAGGTTGATTCAAGATAGCTTGCAATGCTCTGATTTGCTCTAACATGTCGCTCGTTATTTCGTCACCAAGGCGAAGTGTGTCGAAAGTTGATGTATCAAATGCTTCTGAAGGCTAAAACGTGAACATATGCAATGTTAACTTTGTTTTCCAAAATTTAGAATACGCTTATATACACTATATACATGAACTTATGGTTAGCTCTTGCCAACTGGGGTCGGTTGTGCGAAGGCAAAGCTTGAGAAAATCACTATCCAGTCGATAGCGCTATCCACCTTCGTTCAACCGGCCCCTGGACACAGAATAAAGATTAGTACCAAAAGGCCACTCAGCGGTGCAACGTGTCGCTATTTTTTATGCAAAAATATGCAGTTGACTGGCCAGAAGGCGGGGCCTCCAGCCAATACAGCGCATTTATTGGCCAGAATATGTAATCGACTGGCTATAGGAAGATGGCGGCCAGGGGGCCCTTCTGTGTGGATCTTTATTCTGTGCCGTGGACTTTGCAGCTCAGTGGACAGTGTTCGCAGCACTGCACAGGATTCGGCTCCAAACTGTAGGCCGTCCAGTACGGGAAACCATACCTAATTGATCCACTATTACCGCAGGAGAAAACCAGAGTACTTGGAGAGAAGTGTCAAACTGGAAGCCCTCTTCTCACGTGAGCTTGGGACAAAATATAGCACTATACATTTGAAGGCAACCTGTGCGCAGGTATTGTTTTTTTTCCTATCGTACTGGTGGCAACATTATATTGCAATCACAACCTAAAGAACGGCTTTCAAATACATCTTGTGACTCCATTAAACTGTCTGATTTTAACATATATAGAACTGTGAGATGTCTTGTCAAAGACAAAGACAATGAGAAAGCTTTGTAACAAGTTGACAGCCTACCTTTATTTTACCACCAAAGAGAAAAAATCCGACTAAGACAACAAATGTATAACGTTCAATTCGGAAAAACCTATACAAAACAAACAAGAAATATATAATTTCCACAATAATCAATACACTAATTGCAAAAATACATTTCTACATATATCATGTAAAATATTTTCTACTGATATGGCAGCTAAGCTACTTATTAGGAAACGTAACCAAACAAAGAAGTTAAAGAATATAAATTTTATATACAGTTGTTACTCAGTGGAGCAGTTTAAATTCTTGCACACACCTGCAAAATGAATAACACATTTCTTGAACAATTTTACCCGTTTTTCTTTCCTCAACAACGCCACTGACAGTCCTAATTTGACATTTGAAAGAGTGTCGATATCTCGTGCTGCGTTATGTTGTGTCACATGTCAAATAGATTTATATTTACCAATAAAAATCTGTTGTGAAGTGAATAACTCAAGCATGTCAAAAACAGGTACTTCTTAATCTCTGATGAGAACATCTTTTACAATACACGGTTGTAAGCCATCATTCTCTCGTAGGTTTAGTACCTTCAGCTCTCTTTTCCCAATGGCAATGTCTCTTCATGCTGTGCTGAATGGTTATATTACTACCTTAAAAAATAAGCAGAAACTCGACGTTTCGAGCGAAGGCCCTTCGTCGAAACGAAGGCTACTAACTCTTGACGAAGGGCCTTCGCTCGAAACGTCGAGTTTCTGCTTATTTTTTAAGGTAGTAATATAACCATTCAGCACAGCATTTCTACATTGGTACTACCTACACTGGTACAGACAGCTTTAGTATGTCTCTTCATCTCTGTGTCCAACTGTTCGCCATCCTTCTATTCGATCGATGTCTCCAAGTTACCTTGGCTGACGCTTCGAAGCAGTAACTTCAGGTCTCTTCACAATGTTCGTCGTTCTTCTATTGAATATCTCCATGCTAACTTCACTGGATCTTCCTCTACTCTATCCTGGCCATCATCTTCTTTTAAATTTAGAACCTTCATATCTCTTTTCACAATATCCAGGGGCGCCGGAAGCAATGTAAAGCGGAGGGGGCAGCCATTTCAAAAGGGCACTTCATTTTTCTGAGCGGCAATATTTGTTAAAACTTTACTGAATGGACACTCGATTACTTGTGGCTATTATGGGTCGGCAAACTTCGACCTTAATTTTGAACAATTTTATTTGTTGGTGCGAAATAAAATCAGTAAACGGACGTATATTGCTTGATTTAGCATTAATTTTACTGCAACTGGTTAAAAATAAAGCAAAGATTGCTTAAACATTGCTTAAGAATAGTTATAAATTCCAATTCCTGTGAATAACGAACAAATTTCGAAGTGCAGTTCCGGTAAAAAGGGCAACCTGTTGCCCCCATGCTGCCCCGCACTGTTTGGGCAGTGTTGGCAGTTGCCCCCGCTGCCCCCGTGGCTCTGGCGCCCCTGACAATATCCTTCCATTTCATCCTCTGTTGCCCCAGCTGTTCGTTACGGTACTTTTCCTCGATCTTTTGCCCCCCATTTTATCCTCTGCATCATCTTCCTCTCTCATGTTTAATACCTTCCGATCTCTCATCTGCTGAGTCCCAACTGTCCATTACTCTTCTATATGTTACAAGTATTTATGCTATAGAGAAGTCAGTGCTGCATTTTGCTAAAATTGTTGTTTGTAATAGAGTTACAGTTTCGACCACACAAAAGAAAAACTTTTCCCTTCTCCCAATAATCCCAATTTCCTTTACTGATATTACGTAAAAGAATTTAAAAACGCATGGTCAATATTATTCAGCAATATCGAGCAAATGACTAGTTTGTCAATATTTACCTAGCATTAACATCATAATCAGAAAAAACATGACTAGGTCAAACCAAGCCCAAAAGCTAGCAAAAATGAAATGAACCGACTGATTTTGAACTGATATTTCGCCCTTACTTCTCAACAGTGTACAAAATGTACTTTTGAAACAGTTTTCGTGTCAAATACCGCACACCGGAAAATTAACATTACCATAATTGCTTAATCTGTGAGATATTTAACAATTTATATAAAGGCAAGTTAAGCTTTAATGGCGCCGCTCTATTAACAAAACAATTGTTGAAGCGATTAGTTCGCGTCATTTACGAGATGCTAATAAAATATAGAGCTTACCGAAACATGTTGAACAGCTAGGAAAACTAGATAATAGTTTGTCGGATAAACTGTCGTACAGCTAATGTTATATTGAATGTTTCATTGTGATTTGCCATAAAAGTGAAGTTTGAAAAGACATACGAAATATAGAAAACAAACAAAACAAATATTGTTGCAAAAGTCCAAAAGATCAATGAACTAACATGGTGACAAATGATAAGCCAAGGTAAGTGTATCACACTTGTACAGACTGCAGTAGCTTTGAAAGACGGAGCGGTTTTCACAAACGATCTGCTGTTATATAGAACTTCACTCTTTCCCTGTAGTACGAGGTTCTGCTGGGGATCAATCTGTCCCGTACAATATCGCCTTAGCACTACGGTAGCCAGACATCTACATGAATGAATCATCCCTGAGTCAACTGAAATAGAACGCAGAAAAACTCGAGTGACATAAGTTTAGTACATCAGATCACAGACGAGTGTTAGTTGAATAGTATAGCAACAGGATTGACCATTTAAGGTGTTGATTGGTGAGTTTGAGTAGTGCTTAGTGACCTATGGCTATACTTCTGTCATCCATGCTAGGAAAATGGAAGAAGCCATTACAAACAATCACGAAACCGAAGTCAACGAGAAGAACGTTCCAGAAGAAAGAACCACTCTACATGACAAACACCACTCTCAAACCTCCACCGGTGAAGACTGTGTCAGTATTCACAAAGAAACGGAACAATCCTGTTTTTATAAACCTTTACCATCACCCATGCTTCGACAAAGAAAACAGCCAATCTCTATGTTCGAAATACAACCAAACGTCACAGAAATCATAGAAGTACAAGAAATTTGCATCGAAACAGGAGCACAACAATGTGTGAAGGAATGTGTGACAGTTTTACCAGAATTGACTTCGAGTGTTTCAGATGAAACTAAATTACCATCCGAATTACACACCACTCGTTCTGTGCCGACAACTTCCGACATACAACCCGAGGTAAATGTTCGTCAATCGCCGACTTCTAGCTTCATTCTGTAAATACATACTCAATCCAGTTTTTATTCACAGATCAGTGACTCGCGCCACCAAGACTGGCGTAAAGTGGTGATAGGGAAGGATAATGGATGGATAGGTTCAGGATCTAAACTGGACACTCCACGTATCCCAATGTGTCCACCAACACCACCAGTGTCCCCTAGCGTCAGAAGATCCCTGGGTGTACTCAAGACGCCCGCGTGGGCCTTGAGAATGTATCGGGACCCGGAGAAAATTGAGAATAAAAGTAGTCCATCCTTAAGACGTCGATCACTAGTGCTTCCTGTACAAGCCAAGCAAAGTCCGTGTTCTTTGAGGAGAAAATCTTTAGTCTCGCCTGATGTAACAGAGCTAACGACTCGTAAAGATTGGATGAACTATAATCAACTTAGGTAATAGTATAAAACAAGAGTAATTGAATGTAGATGCATGTAGGTAGATTGAATATATATGGTATATATTATACATAACATCTATTTCTCTCATTCTTTTTTGTCCAATTCGTTCATATTTTTTGACAGCAATTCAGCTGAAGACGTAAGGAAACCAAGCGACGAGAAACTTCTGAGTTTTGAAAATGAAAATAATGCACAAGATGAAAGTAAGTTTTATACCATTTTTCCAATTCTAAACTTGCAAAACAGCGTAGGAACGAGTAGAAATACAAACACAAGCCTTACTATCTTGCGCATTCAGAAATACAGTTGGTATAAATAACTAAAACTTCGCACTCTTGCCGCTTCAACATTGTTCAACAAAGTTGTTAAAACAAAACAAAACATTGTTCAACAAAGTTAAAACAAAACATTGTTCAACAAAGTTAAAACAAAAACAAAACATTGTTCAACAAAGTTAAAACAAAACAAAACATTGTTCAACAAAGTTGTTAAAACAAAACAAAACATTGTTCAACAAAGTTAAAACAAAACAAAACATTGTTCAACAAAGTTAAAACAAAACAAAACATTGTTCAACAAAGTTAAAACAAAACAAAACATTGTTCAACAAAGTTAAAACAAAACTTGATAGTAATTAAAGTTCCGACAATCATTCTCCAAAAAAGTTCCTAAATTGCGTTGGTCGCCCGTAAAGTTGTAGCTCCATGCAGGTTTTTCCACACAGAATGCAAAGGTAGTTACGTTGCTGCCTCTTTGTCTCTGTACAGGTCAAGACATCAACAACAGCGTCACAGAAAAGAAAGCGAACACCAGCTCAGATGACGACGAATTCGAGGACTTCCGTCCGCGCCTGCGCAGTCGTTCTTTGGACGACTCCAGAACTCTGGCAAGGGAAAATGTCTTGCACAATTTCAACCGACAGAAACGATCCGTTCAAGAGCCATCAAAACGTAAAGAAAGCCGACGAAAATCCTTCGAAGTATGGCTAACAGATAAGGAACAAGATACTATACGAAAGCTTCAAATTTTGGCGCTAGAGAGACAACAAGCGACCGAGGATGAAGTCAAGAGAAAAGAACAACGAAGGGGAAAGACGTACGAAGAATGGCTTGGCGAGAAAAACAACATGGCGGCCGTGAAAAACGAAAGCTCGAGCCTCAAACAGGATGAAACAACGAAACAAGGAAGACAAGAGATTTCCAAGCGTCGTTATGATAAATGGTTGATGGAAAAAGAAACGCAAGCTTTGGAAGAAGAGCGGGAAATGTTGAAGGATGCAAAAATGAAGACGATTGAAATGCGAAAGAAATATGACGAGAGGAAAAAGAATAAACTTAGATTCTTAAGAAGTTCGCTTTTTTGATAAAGTTTTGGCGAATGAACGAGTAAGATGTAATGGTGATACGCGATGACGTCATACATCGGATTGAGTGACATAAAATGACGTCACCTGATGATGTCACATGTTATGGCGTCATATGTCATATGCAGAATGACGCAACATTTACAAATGCTGACGCAACATTTACAAATGCTGACGTAATCTGATGAGGCCATACATAAATAAGCTCGACAGTAGTTTGATTATGTCATTATGTGATATATATCAAACTTTTGATCTTGAGCTTGGAACTCGTTTAACAAAACAATTGGCAGTTGTTAATCATATAATTTACTGATTTGTTGATAATTAAATGTAATTATAAAAAAGTTGTATCTAATAATTTATATACATTCCTAATTTATTTCCAATATTATAAATATAGTTTAAAAATCATTTCGAGATCACAATCGCAATGGAACTATAGTGAAAAAATTCCTGTTCGATTGTAATTATAATAATTAATGTAATGATAATTCAATGTGGTCCAAAAACTATTTCACAACGAATTTTTCATTTTCGATTATGGTTATTGAATTCAAGCTGTCTGCAAAGTTTCCCCACGAAAGTCACAGCCAGTCACTCATTTTCGAAACTCACAAAGCTAACATCAACGGGATAAGATCTAGAGGCTATTTCTAACTCAAAGTCTCTGTGCCTTACGTCATCGTCAGGAAGCTCGACTGTAGCCATAGCAACATGTTTGTTTCCTTGGAAACCATACGATGCTGACGTTGTCATGCCAACAATGTTCCCTTCATGCAGCAAGGGTTCGCCTCCCCATGGAAAATTATCGTCGTCATAGCAACGCATGGTGACGTGGACAAGCCGTTGCTTGGAAGGATCTTCTGATAAAATGCCTCGGTCGGAAATAAATTCCGTTTTCTAAATTGATAAAGTTAAAATTTACGCAGGATTGTTCCTTGCTTTGATAACCTTCGAAAACCATGGCTAGGAAACAACGTTTCCTATATGTCACATTCGGGAAACATGGCTTGGAAACAATGTTTCCTGGTTTGCTGTCGGCTTAATATATTCAAATAACGAAACTTACCTTGGAAAGATCTACAAGTGAATTCAAGCCAGCATTTTGAGGCAGGATTGAGTGACTTAACTCAGAGCCCCAGGCAGGAATACCTTTCTCGATACGCAGAGAATTCAAAGCATAAAGACCAACATTTCTAATTTCGTATTTCTTGCCATTCTCCACAACTTGGTGATACACATTCCGGACAAACTACACAAAATTGAACACATGGTCTTGTTAAAGTACTGAGGTCAAAAAATTAGATTAAATTTTAACGAATAAAACAGGTCGTCACTCCAACCTCAGGAGGCATGAACAATTTCCAATCATCATTTCCTCGTACAACAAGCACATCAGAAGCATACGCCACGTCAATACTCTGTGAAGGAGAGAAAATGAAAAAATTCAAACCCTAAAACCAATTGACCATTGGCGTAATAGACTAAATTTTGATCTAGACAAAAATTTCATCACAGCTTAAAAGAACATCACAAAATTAGTAATATTCCAAAGTTTCGTTGCAAAATGTTGTAAAATGCGGATAATATAGCCTTGCGAAGTTTGCAGTTTTCAGTCATTTTAGATTACAAACGGGAAATTGACAGCCCAATACCCTTTGAGGCTGTCAATTTCCCGTTTGTAATCTAAAATGACTGAAAATTGCTAACTTCGCAAGGCTATATTGTCCGCATTTTACAACATGACGCAACGAAACTTTGGAATATTACTAATTTTGTGATGCTCTTTCAAGCTGTGATGAAATTTTTGTCTAGACTTGTTGAGATCAAAATTTTGTCTATTACGCAAATGGTCAATTATATTGTAATCCGGCATAAAAAACATAGCATTTGCGCGATAAACATTGTTTCGCTTTCCAACGGACAGTTACCTTGACAGTATTAAGCGGGAAATCTTCAACGTCAAGGGACGTCTGCGTGAGTGACTGAAGAAGTTCGGTGGAAGCCGGGCCAATCAGAGACAAGCCTGAATAATGTGACGTCATGTCGGTCACCGTAACATTCTCATAATTCTTAGAATATTTGGAAATCCAATGCAGTAGTCTCGTCATCTGAGTGATGGAATCAATCAAATAAAACCTGAAATTAAAGAAACAGAATCCTATTCATTTGAGACGCATGAATGACATACTAATGAGCAAAGATGATAGCCAACCACAACATACCTATCATGGGCCAGTCTATAAACTGTACAAAATGACTCAATTCCTCCGTTAGAATTCATGATCAATGTCCGTACAGCTCTGCCAGAAGACACATCCACGTCACTGGAACAAAGATACTGCAACAAGTTCACAGCTGAACTGCCCTGTAGAAGATTATATTAACAAGGTGAATGAAGAATAACATCACCAACTCCAAATACGATTTTTGCCATGTGTAATGGTATGTGTAAATTCTGACATGTGGATCATTCTAACGAGAAACGTAATTTATTATTACAGGGAAAACCCTCATCTTGATCAACAAATTTACTTACGGATATTTCTATTTTCAATGTTGGAGAAATATCAGCCACTGCTACACCAGAAGTACAGGCTTCTACTTCAGCTCTTACGACATCAAACCATTCAGGTTTTCCAAATGTCTCATTTATGTCTTTGGGATCTAAAACCAATGGAAAATTTGACCGTATGCATTACGTCAAATTTGAACATTGAACGACACTTCACAAGCTCAAGTGTCAGATAAAGAGGTATGATATAATGATGCCCTAAAGCCAGGTTTCCATATGGTCGTAACGGTCGTAAAGATTGAGTCACGATATTTCTCATCAGCCGAAATACAACATTTTAGAACTGAAAATACGCGGAGTGATTATAACTGGAGAATACTAATTTATATGCGGTTTTCATGTATAAACTATTAGAGACCTTACGATTTTAGGACGGCAACGGCTACCAATACAATAGATCATTGAAAAGAATTGAGTAATTACAATATATGAATAATTTAGACATTGTCCTCGCTCTGTTTACAACGCCAAATCACAGATTTTCACGTCTTGATACAACGGCTGCATTCCAAGCCACAACAAGTGCAACTTCAAACTGGGTTTAGCAGAACTCTTCCCAACCATAAAACTCATGTCTTCAACTTCTAAGACTGTATTAAATTCATACTATTTATTTGAAGGAGTTTGTTTTGGCCGTCGCGTTGCCGTCCTAAAATAGTAAGGTCTCTAATATAAACTGGCCGTTTAGAAAGGTCGTGAGGACAAATCTGAAAAATCTTCATTTTTCTTGCTAAGGCGAATGTTCCTCAGCACCCCAAGATCGCACATTTTAGGTAAAAGGCGCCTCGTTTTTTAATATTTTTCTTAAATTCCTTTTCGTGTATGATATATTACATACCAACGCCATCACGTGCAAACCACGCGGGACACTCCCAACCCATGACGCGACTCCACGAGGCACCTTGAGCCTGCAGTATATCATAAAGTGGCGAAGATTTCATGTTACGCGCAGCTGGAGGTTCACTCAAGGGATACGGAAGAGCATACAGGTATCCTACAATATATCCAATTGTATCCCGAAGATACGTCTTGTTGCCTTGGTGACGAGAGAATCGTCTGATATCTACCGATGCCAGATCCATTGTTGGTCCCTTGTTCTCAATCCACTCTGCAATTGCGCGGCCAACGCCAGCTGCGCTAACGATACCATGCGAGTTCATAGCACAAGCTATGTAGTAATTGTCAATCTGAAAAAAGATTCCTGGAGATAAATAATTCTCAGAAAAATCATGCATTTCAAGTTATCTACGAGTCCTTTGGCCGTTGTCATTATTTTGGTACTTAGTACCATTGTCAAATTCACAATACCTCAGGCACAGCTCCCATGAGAATTTTACCATCGGGTGTGAAACTTTCTGGTCCGTTTACCATCTGACGTATTTCAGCATTTTCAATCTGAGGTAAACGGTGGACAATTTCTTTCAAGAGGACCTCTGCAAAAAACGAGAATAAAAAGATTTGTGTTTCATCAAACAGTATTGCTGTGGTTTGTATCTCAACTACCTAAAAAGTGGTTGTTGATGGTTACCAAAAACTAATACCAGTCGACAATCTTAACAAATATAAAACGAAACACCATCCGAAGATATAGCTATCATCTTGAAACCCAAGATATGAGTCAAGACGATAATGAGTTTGTGACATTTCGATTTTATTCCAAAATCTTCCAAAATCATCATGGATTCATGATGATCGAAATATCGCAGACTCGTTCTCGTTTTGTTTTGATCATATCTTGGGTTTGAAGATGTTAATCTTCGGATGGTTTTCGTTTTATAGTTCAGACATAAACCACGGCAGTTACACTGACCCTGCACGTTTGAAATATGTTTTTTATTCAGATATAAAACGTCGCGTCAACTCACCGAACTGATCCCAGTCTTCTGCAAAAAGTTGAAACTCGAACTTGTCAGGAATTTTGTCATAAAAGATGGGCTTGGCTTTCGGTTCAAACCCCCCTGCCAGGATGCCACCATTCCATTCCCTATAATACGTCCTACCATCAGGGTCTCGCAGCACAGGAAACATTGAACCAATACCTTCCATAGGTTTAGTCACTATGTAGAAATGTTCAGTGGAATGAAGGGGTACGTTCACCACAGGATTGCTTTTCTGTCAAATAATTAAGAACAATTTTTTCTTTGTGGCATCATTATTTTTTGTAAAAACATCGAACTCGTGTCTTTTTAAGAACTGTGTGTCTTGGTCAGTACGCTTGCCTTTCAAGCTAGGAGACCTGGGTTCAGTCCTTGGTCGGACCTCAAGGTCTTAAAAGAACTGAGGAGAAAGTGCTATCTTTACATTGACGTCAGTAAATGGTTAGTCTTTCGCTTTTAATTTTTATTCAGTGAAATATCGGTCCAATGAAGGACCAAGAAAAATTGCACATCCGGCCATATAGGCCGTCTGGCGGGGTATTGGTATAAGTTTTCAATCAGCAATAATCGCGCCTCGGATGAACCTCATCGGCTACGATAATGCCACTGCGCAAAGCTACTGAGCAATGTTGAAATTAGTGTTTATATCGCCGATCTAACCGCAACGCATGTGGGAGGTTGGTCGCTCATTTACATATATGCGCACGCACCATGGCAATAAAGAATAAGACAGACCCAGACTTAATCAGGTGTTCATTCCCGCTACCATAAAATTCATTCACATTCACAACTTCGTTTCTAATGTTTACATTATCAGAGCAGTTGGAAATATCACTTTATCAGTGCTCGAAATCTCTATAAAACACTATACTTTATATAATAAAAGTTCTATTCATGTCCATAAAATTTTTAATTTTTATTCAGTGAAATATCGGTCCAATGAAGGACCAAGAAAAATTGCATAGCCGGCCATACAGGCAGTCTGGCGTGATATTGGTATAAGTTTTCAGGGCGCTGTAAAACACGGGCGTGGAAACGGCAATGACGCCCCTGATCTATGTGTGACGCGCGGACCCCCCGTAGATTTTCGAATATTGGAAATTCTCATTCGAATATCAACATTTGGAAAGAAAGACACGGCAAGAGTTAAAATAAGAAACATGGTCATGGCCTAGTTGAAACTCATTTGCAAATGAACACCAAAATGATTTACCTCTGGGATGAACTATATGGAATGAGAGGTTTATGTACTTAAAGTTTATGCTACAGTCAAGAGGGAATATTGTAAAGTGAGCCTGAAAAGGTCAGTGCACTTTTAAAGACATAAAGTGGTTGAAACGGATATTTGTATTTTTAATATGAGTAAAAATCGCTGACAGTGCCGGTAAAAAAATCATGTTTTAACAAAAAAGCCGGTCTTCTTTTTAAGAAAAATCAATTTTAAATAACTTTGACAGCAACTGTGCAAATTTTTAGGCAAAGTTTTTCACCTGGAAAAAAGATATAAATAAAATTTCTTTCGCGGTTTGAGTTTCATGGCCAAACATGTCAACATTGACCTTGTCCTTTGAGTGAGACCATGGCCAATCAAGCCAAAAAGCTGTGTTTTAACAAAAAAGCCGGTCTTCTTTATAATAAAAATCGATTTTCAATAACTTTATATTAAACTGTGCAAAATTTTAGGACAAGTTTTTCACCTAGGAAAAAAGATACAAGTCGAAACATTTTTTCCGCGCTTCGTGTTTCTTAAGTAAAAATGGCTGACAGTACCTTCGTCGTTTCATGTGAGACCAGGTCAAAACTAGGTGAAAAAATCATGTTTTAATAAAAAAGCCGGTCTACTTTTTAAGAAAAATCTATTTTAAATAGCTTTGACAACAACTGTGCAAATTTTTAGGCAAAGTTTTTCATCTAGGAAAAAAAATATAAATAAAAATATTTTTCCCGCGGTTTGAATTTCATGACCAAACATGTCTACATTGACCTTGTTTTTTCTAGTGAGACCATGGCCAATCAAGGCAAAAAGCTGTGTTTTAACAAAAAAGCCGGTCTTCTTTATAATAAAAATCGATTTTCAGTAACTTTATTAATAACTGTGCAAAATTTTAGGCCAAGTTTTTCACCTAGGAAAGAAGATACAAGTCGAAACATTTTCTTCCGCGCTTCGTGTTTCATGAGTAAAAATGGCTGACATTGCCTTTGTCGTTTCATGTGAGACCAGGTTAAAACCAGGTAAAAATCATGTTTTAACAAAAAAGCCGGTTTTCTTTTTAATAAAAATCGATTTTCAATAACTTTATCAACAACTGTGAAAATTTTTAGGCCACGTTTTTCACCTAGGAAAAAAGATATAAATAAAAATATTTTTTCCGCGGTTTGAGTTTCATGGCCAAACATGGCTACATTGACCTTGTCCTTTCGAGTGAGACCATGGCAAAACCAAGCCGAAAAGTTGTATTTAAACAAAAAAGCCGGTCTTCGTTTTAATAAAAATCGATTTTCCATAACTTTGTTAATAACTGTGCAAAATTTCAGGCAAAGATTTTCACCTAGGAAAAGGGAATACAAGTCGAAACATTTTTTCCGCGCTTCCTGCATACTAAATTAATGGCTAACAGTAACAGTCGTTTCATGTACGACCATGTCAATACCATGCCGAAAAACCATGTTTTAACAAAAAAGCCGATTTTCTATTGGTAAAAATCATAAATTATATACTATATATCATTATAACCGTAAATTTTGCGGTAAACAGCTATAGTTCATACATGAACTAGACGTTGTTGAAATATCAGCAAGACATTTTTGTCCATGCATGAAAAAAGTAAACTGAGAACTTTAATGCAATGTATATAAAGAAACGTTTTTGCCCGCTTTGAAAAGACACTTCTTATTGGGTTTATAAAAAAGTGTTAGTAATATAAATCAATTATGCTGACAGGGTTAAAAATTCTGAAAACAATTATGTTCACTTAAAGTTTTTTAAGAATTTAATTTACCGAAAAATTGTGTTGCAATGTTGACATTGACTTTTAGTTTGACCGCGATTTGTAGGCTTTTTATGTTTTAGAAAATTATGCTAATGCCAAAATTTAAGCATAGCAAAAAAAGCCGGTAAAAGCCGGTCTTGATATATATTGTATTTGTGTACTAAATGAGGTTATGCAATAACCAAGGTTAGCAACTTGGGAACCAGGTATTCTGACGTCAGTACGTCACATGACCGGGGGGATGGCGCAATGGGAGTAGGTGACATCAGGGCCACAGAATAGGAAGTTATACCAGAAGCGTAACTCGAGCAAATATTTGTCCGCGTTTTTCAAGCGATTCGTCATCAATCACGCCATCCTGGCTAGTACAACCGGCACTTTGTACCTACCAAATCCTGATAAAAACTTCCGGCTGTACTAGCCAGGATGGCGTGGCCTGACGTGAGCGAGTTAAAAATTTTCGTGGACGTCAAACAATAAGGGAAACGACTAGAGTTACGCTTCCTGGTGACATCTACCATTCCAAGTCTGACGTCCAAACGACGACAACGTGCGCTTTCAATATTTTTTTTGCCTCGGATGAACCTCATCGGCTACGATAATGCCACTGCGCAAAGCTACCGAATTTTTTGTCAAAATCAGTATTTATACGGTCATTGTACCGCAACGCATGTGGGAGGCTTGTCGCTCATTTACATATATGCGCACGCACCATGGCAATGAAGAATAAGACAGACCCAGACTTAATCAGATGTTCATTCCCGCTAGCATAAAATTCATTCACATTCACAACTTAGTTTCTAATGTTTACATTATCAGGGAAGTTGGAAATATCACTTGTAGTGTCCTGGTCATCACGCTTGCCTTTCAAGATCCGGGTTTAATCCTTAGTCGGACTTGTACTCAACGTCTTAAACTGATAACTGAGGAGAAAGTGCTATCTTTACAATGACATCAGTAAATGATTAGACATTTTCGTCTTCTTTTACTTTTTATTCAGGGAAATATCAGTCCAATAAAGGACCAAGAAAAATTGCACAGCCGGCCATATAGGCCTGCCGGCTGGCGGGGTAATGGTATAAAGACTTTCGCGTTTTCTCGGATAAGGACGTTAAAATCGTAGGCACCTCGAAGTTGACCACATACTGAATACTGAAACATGCGAATCAAATACAGTACTCACCAGACCAACTTCTCTTCCCCACTACATAAAAAAAGAAGAAACTACGATCATCATGTATACTAAAACTGTCCGTACCAGCGTATATATAGGTCCTTGAAACTCCCGAAATTTCAGGTCGGCAAGAAATTGACGACCTAAAAGCGATAATTCTCAATCTAGGTCGGCAAATATTTTCAAAACAAATAGAAAATATCCAAATGAAAATTTAATTTGCTTGCTGCAAATACGTGTATTTATAAACAGCAATAAATTGCAATCAGCAATCAATTGCAATCAACAACTAACAAAATTTATGAACTCTAATCGAACAGTGCATGTTGTGACCAAATGTTGTGACAGACCGTACACTACTTTATTACCATATACTTTCGCTTAAATCTTGAAGCTGGACGATTTTAACACGATGTTTACTTTTCAAAGTTTTCAACAATGAAACTGCAATGTGACTACGCAAGCTAATGATCAAAACCTGATAATTAAAACATCATCGTTGAAAATGCGTATTTGAAAGATACGTTCGCGGAAAACAATGCCGAGACGTGTTTGAAAGTAGGTCGGCAAAATTTTGCCGACCTAAATCTACACATATCGCTTTGCAGGTCGGCATTTAGCTCGGCACTGCCGAATGCCGACCCGAGTTTCAAGGACTGTAGTACCATTGTGAAAATGCTGTGCTGAGTGGTTATATTACTACCTTAAAAAACAAACAATATAACGTACCGCTCAGCACAGCAGTTTTATCATCATGTATACCTGTCCTGCGCAGTTAACAAAGATTTCACAATCAATTGTTCCTTTATCTGTAGTTACGCTTGAGACGGCGTTATTTTTCGTCTCAATGCTTTGTACTGCAATGCCTTCAACAACTTTGACACCTGTAGAACCATGGAAAATATACTTGAATTTAATTTTGAAAAGAATTTCTAATGCTCTGCCAAACTGGTAGCCTGAATGTCACAGACGTTACTTATATAGAAAGTCTGCGATGCACGCTACCAAACTGGAAGCATTGTACTTTAAACAGTCAACTTTGTACTTTAAACAGTCAACTTGGATGACGGACAGACAACATTGTACTTTAAACAGTCAACTTGGGTGACGAGATTTGAAAGGAAATTCTAGGAAATATCTTACCATGCATTTTTGCACCCTTCGCTAATGATTGAGTGATGTCACTCCCCATTGCTACACCATCATTAGGAAACCACAAAACACCCTAAAATAGTTGTAACAATGGTACTATCTCATCTTTAAGTGTAATTATGATTGATGTAAAAATAATTTACTCCGCATAACGCCAGACAATTTTTACTCATCAAGGGCAGAATGATGGCAGCACTCAATGGGTTAATAATATTTTGTAATGCTAAAAATCATGTGCAGATCTACAAGTGGGGGAACAGGTATGGGTGTATTCCCTTACAATTCTTGAGTTTCATATCATGTCACGTATGGGTCGAGGGTCTGTGTCAGTTTTATTAATTGGCTTACATAAGATGCGTTGACAGCCATTTGATTTCTAGTTGATCTCAGTTCAATGATTGCCTTCAGTTCAGTGAGTCAAATTGTGCTAAAATATCATGTGACTGAAACCCAAGAATTTTATTCTTACCAAAAGATCATCAATCCTCATGTTGGGCCATTTTTCTCCAGCTTCAGATGGGGAAATAAATTCACTTGCAATACCAAAAGCTCTGTAATTTACAAGCACATCAAGCACAAGTTACCAAATTTAATTCACTTTATATTTACTTTTGAATCCATTCTGACTCTACCTTGCTTTCCCATGCTGTCGTTTTAAGAACGTTAATCGATCCTCCTTTCGGGCCATTAAAAGACTGCCACAATTTTTCCAGCCTTACAAAAACAAATATTGTTTGACATGAATGAAAAATGTAGTACATAGCAACAAAATAATGTTTTCATTTGGTACTTCATTTTATTGTGCTCAGAACCACCAGGAGGTTGTGCGAGGCCCAGGACAAAACGTTCCTAGGGGGGCCCTATGAGTCTATAATGTCATAATTGTAAAATGCATAGACATATGAGCAAGAAAGACAATGGGGAGGCGGCCATAAATTGCCCGACGTTTATGAAATTGCCAGCGTAAAAATTTTCTATCTTGTTGCATTCAGCTGGGGGCACAAGGCAAAAAAGTGAACCATGAAACAGAATATAAGAGAGAGTAGTGCACATACTAGTTCCCAGGCCAGTCTCTTCCTCCAATTGACTGTACAACTCAACACCATAACTCGCTATCTTGGTCTCAACAGATTGGTTTTTCATTCCACCAATAAGAGAAGCAGCATGCCATGTTGTACCACATGCCAAACTAGATTTTTAAAATTAATGCTCAAGGCTCTTCCCGTGAGTAAAATACATCTCGCTGGAAAGTACATCACTTTGGCTATAGAGTCTTGTATTTTATAGTAATGGATATAAATCATTTGTTGTTAGACACAGTATATATTACATACAATGAGGCATTCCTTCTAACCCATTCAGTCGCAGCACTCTCCCCTTGATGAGTAAAATTGTCTGGTGTTAGACAGAGTAAAATAATAAAGTAGAAATCATAAGGGCACGTTGCCACTTAAAGGGTTAATGGGTTAACAAGCAGCTGATGTCAGGATAATTTGGTTAATCTATGATTCTATGAATTATGTATCAGACTCTCATCTTGATATAAGGCCTGCCAAAGAGCAATGAGGATGGTTGAACTGTGGAGCAAAGGGGTCAACTACCTGATCGTTATAGACTCCCAATATACGCTTCAGGAAGTATATCATCTTGACTATTAGCCATTCCAAAGTTGATCAGAGGACTGGGAACAAGTATTAAAAAGTGCCCAAATTAAGAAATCAACCAAATAACTAAAAAGACCACCTCAAAATTAGTAAGTATGCAAAGTTTGAAGACGTTTACATGAATACCCTTCGAATAATAAGCTTTCGAAAATCGTGAAATTACTGATTAATTAAAATATTGTTTTTGGGACGCGCATCTCCAAAACAAAAATTACAATACATTTCATAGTAAATATCACAATTTTCGAAAGCTTATTATTCGAAGGATATTCATGTAAACGTCTTCAAACTTTGTATACTTACTAATTTTGAGGTGGTCTTTTTAGTGATTTGATTCATTTCTTGATTTGGGCACTTTTTAACACTTGTCCCCAGTCCACTCATGAACTTCGGAATGGCTAATAGAGCGTTGTTTTTGTGATTGAGATGTTAGACTTTAACTGATCTGACATACACAAAAACAATTAAGGCTGCTATAGCCAAAATGACATGCTTTCCAGAAGGGTATAGTGCTTACCTTCCTTGTTCCAAGAGGATAACATCAGTCCAACCAAGTTTTGCTAAATGATATGCAACAGCACAACCGACAACCCCACCACCACAAATGACTACCTGACTGGACGATGGAACTTCAACATCATTATCTGCAGTTCGCACTGCATTTGATAATTTCCTTGGAATTACCAACATAAATATATTTGTAAATACCATTGCAGGAATTTTCTAAATACAGCTAGATGTTTCAAAATCTAGGACATTTCACATCATGGTACTTTACAGTTTATCATACCCAACTAATGGTGTTTTTATGCTGTGTAATTACATGTTCTTAAATCGAGTATGCATTCACAAATGGGCTACTATGGTAAAATTGCTTATTTTGCATTGGTATAATTATTGTGAAATATTCATTTTCATGCTCAGATTTGTCAATGGTGGCAAGCACACCCTCAAGCACACCCACCCCGAGTTTTTACTCCGCAGATCGATAAATGTATGCACTTCGGTTTTACTACATTATTGCCTCAACAACTTGTGAAAAGTTGTAACTTTATGTTAAATCTTTATGTAAATACCATGAAGATTAAACACTGTTCTTGAGTAAAGGTACTTCAAGAACTGACTAAAAGTGTGATACTCGAAGTCACTATTAAATCCCAATTATCGTCAATATTAGAACTCGAATTATGCTATTTTCCTCCTAAACAAGCTCATTATATACCTTGCAAATCGTTTTTCAAAGCCATAGCTTCTTCCTCGAAGGACAGAGCGCCCAAAAAGCGAGTACTTTCTGGTTAAATTTGTGAAATGTTTGCAAGCATTCTGCATGGTCAAAATGATTGCAGATGACCAGTGTGACCAGATTTTGCAAGGCAATTACTAAATAAGCATGCAAAAAATTACCAAAACGTAGAAAAAGTTACTAAATTCCTGCTGTCAGTACGGGCCAGAGGAGGTTGGACAGCAGGCCGCAAAGCATCATGGGTATTGAGCGCCTAATTCCACGCGTGGCTTTCATTGACTGTTGACTGTCGAGGAGTGAACATCTCTCTGACTACAAAACCAATATGGAAGCTTTCGAACGACAAGAATGTCAGGCTGCGATATTTTGTGAAAACAGCATGTTATTGCTGTATTGTTGCGATCATCATTATGACTTGTGTTTTACTATATCAAGTTTACCTTTTTTTAAATTGCATGGGACGTGTTGTCATTTTAGCTTTACAAATAATCCGTCTGAGAAAAGGAATTGTGTTTAATTTTATATATTCCCAATAGCGAGGCTCTTCTTTCTAAGTTGGATGGCGTTAAATCTCTGTGTATCATCAACGTGAAAACAAGCGCAGTATTTAAGGTTGGTATACTACAATGCATTACAGTTATCGTGTTATTTTATAGTCAAATTTCCGCTTTGTTGTTTTTATTCTTGTACTTTTAATATAAATATGGCGTCTTACTTGTGTTTACAATGCCTCTAGTTTGACCCTATAGTGTGTGTATATGTACTGTGTCACTGTGATACATATGTACATGTTTTGAGTTAAACGAATTGTTTAATACATTTTTGCTGAAGTATGATGCCTGTTTGTATGGATAGATTTTTACATATATGTGCATACAGTATAGTATATTTTTCAATTTTCATCTGTAAAATAACATTTGTGTGTTGTTCTAATATTACTGTAAATAGTGACACACTTTTGCATTAGATTGCTAATTTTAGAGATTACAGTGTATGTATAAAATAATAAAATAAAAATTTTCTTGTTATGATTTTGTAGAAAGAGATCTACTTGAGTGGTTCAGTGGTTGGCTGGTCTTGAACCTGGTCAGCATGGATATGGTAATGAAGGTGATAGGGCAGAAAGTGGTGACCAGTTAAGTGATCAGGATGAAAGTGACGAGGACGAAATCACCCATGCTGTGCCATTCAAGTGCATTGGTGCTGTTCATGAGAAACATTACCAAGATCATTTGTAACAGGCATGCCTTGCAATTCATGGACAAGATAAACCAGTGAATGTAAGAATACGTCCAAAGCCATTGAATCCAATGGACCCAAGTGCAATAGCAATTGATGTAGACTATGGAACTGGATGGACACATGTGATGTTGGCTATATTATTTGCACCCACTAATTGCTGCATGAGATATCTTAGAGGTCTATGTTCAGCATATAAAGTATAGGGTTGACTTTTTTAAAATAGGATTTTATCCAAAATTTTTCATAAAGGGATGTGGTGAGTGGGAACTCAAGTGGTAAGGAGGGGCATGAGTGTATGTCGACAGATGTTTGTGATATAATAGTAACTGACTAGGTTTAGCAAGTTATAGAAATGATGTTATTTAAATTGGCTAACTAATTTTTTCAGAATTTTTACCTTTCACTTTATTGCCAAACAAAAATGAAAAATCATTTAATTTAAGTAGGTGTGTATCTATAAGAAAACAATATCTGTCATGTGCACTTGTGCAACTCCCTCAAAATAGCAATATTGCTTTTTTATTGTGTAGGACACCAATATGGTTCTCATTACCTATATCGATCTAAACTTAAAAAAACATGTGCTATAAATAAATGCATCTACCTATTTCGTGACTGAATAGAATTTATTTTGTCAAGCCATGTAATTAATTTTCAAATTGCTGTGACTTTATGTAACCCTTCTGCAGGAATTGAGCCTAAACCCTAAAGCACCAACCCCTAAAGCACCAACCCATCCCCAACAATAACATTACATCTTACTGTCAATTTGTCTTTGAAATCTGACCACCAATGTTTATTTGTAAGTTCGGAATGTATGTTGCAAAGTTTGACTGCAGTTCGTTTTAAAGTTGGTTCTGTGAAAATCGGGCTGAGTTGAATTTAAATGGTTCTTATTTCCAGTCAAAATATGGGTCTCTATTTACTTGTTTCTATATACACCTGTTGACTCTGGATGGTCTTCAGAATTATCAAATAATGTACCTGCATTATAAATGCTTCCTCCTTTAACTTAATAGTGTTCATGCATACTAAAAAACCAAACATGGTGAATTATACTACAGGTATATACAATAACTGTACCAGCCAAGGTGTTAAACCTGGCTTGTCCAAAAAATACTGTGGGTGATGTGTGGCAACTTACATGGTGCTTGTCACATGCTGAATTGTCACATGCTGACAATTCAGCATCTTTTCAACAAAAATTATCGAAACATATGAAGTAGATAATGTAAACAGCAGCTGACAACTTTTGAGGTATTCAAGAAATATCACAAAGCTTGCAAGTTGCTGTTTAATAAAGAAAACAATTTCTTAGGTCATCCATGGCCATCTAGTTAAAAAGTGGCTGACGTCTAATTTCAAGAGTGGCTGGTGCAAAATGTACACTACTATAACAAACATAATTTAATTATTAATGTCAATAAATTTGAACAAATATGCTCAAGCATTAATTAAATATGATACAGTACATGTATGCGGGGATGGATCCAGCATGATCTGGTAGGGGGGTGCTCTGGTGCCAACTGCTGAATTATGTCGGTCATGTGTGCCGCCCACCCATCAACTGCTGTATTTGAATTGTAATTGTTCACAGTTCACTTATCATCATGTTATTACTCAAATTATTGTATCTCATTTTGTCTTTTTTGCTTTATCATAAAAAATAGCACCCTCCTGCACCCCCTCTGGCCAGGGCTAGGGGGGTACACACCCCACACCCTCCCAGTAAATCCATCCCTGCATGTATGTGCACTTTCTATATTGTGCTCAGGCATTTGGTGGAGCATGTTGTTGGCCACGTTGAGGGATCACAGCTCAATTTGTATTCACCAATAACTTTCAGAAAGACATCATAAAGGACAAGAGATACTATAATCTATACTAGTAATCCATGCTAAAATGTCTTCATTCTTCAACATCGTCAGTTGGCCCTGCCCTTGGATGTTCAGGAAGAAGCCCTTTTTCAATTCTATATCGACATCTGAACTGCTGTAATTAAAAAGGAACATAGAATTTTTCACTGAGAGAAAATCTGATCACTTTATAATGTGCTGTTCTTTTAAAATCGTCTCTATCACCAGACAATTTCACTTGCCAAGGAGATAGGCATGCATGTCAAGGAGATGGGCATGCAGGCTAGTAATACCAGCCCAGATATAAAATCTGTAAAAACAGGCAAATAACTCCTAAGTCTTCTAAATAGTCTTTCAAAAGTAATTTAACACTTACTGTAAAGAAAAATGATCCTAATATTGGGGGACTTTCAAAATTCATTGTGAAAATCAAGCTTTGGTGGCGCAATATCTTCCCCAGATATTAGACGCCATTTTGGCAAAGGTTGAATTGAGTATGGTCACTTCAATGCCAAATATCTCGAAAACTGCCGGGGGATCCCGGGGATCCCTCCAGCAGATTTTTAGTTTAGACATTTGTCTTGATTTTTTTGCAAAAATTACGAAAATCGAACCATGGGAATTCCAGATTTTTTAGTTTGAAAATTGTAAACAGACTCGGACTTGAGTCATCACGTTGCCAAGGTATGACCAACTTTAATCATCGAAAACAGGTTAAAAAATAACGTTTACCTCAGAAATTCTTGCACATATCGCCAGTCCTTTTATAATACTAAGGCCATGGTTGCATTTTGATAGAAAAATATGAATATTTATATATATTTTTTGAGTTCTTCTGTGTCCAATGCAAATTAGAAGGCCAAAATTATTCGCCAACACGATGGAAAATAGAGCGATCTCATTGGTCGAGAGCTCACGTGACAACTCGCTAATTAGCTGTCCAACCTCCTCTGAGTACGGGCCTTGTCTTATTTGGGGGGGGGGGGCACTGTATAGTTTGCCCGAACAGACAAACTTAACATTAATATTTCTCCCCAAAAACGTTAGCGAGCGGAGAGGGGGGGGGGAGCAAAAATTTTTTTCGCACATACCAAAAACTTACCAGTAAAATAAGAACATTTCCCCGGACATATCAAAAATGTTCCCTAACAGCACGTAATTTCCGAAAACATAAAAAAAATCTTTAACTACATATCATTTTTTTCCGAAATTTTTATTTCGCCCGAATGTCGCATTGATTTTTAGCCACAGACCGCCGTGGCTAACAGTATAGTGAAATCTGATATACATTTAGCCACGAACCGCCGTGGTTAAAAAGTATAGTGAAATCTGATATACTTTTTAGCCACAGAAAGCCGTGGCTAAAAGTATAGTGAAATCTGATATACTTTTTCGCTAAACACCGCCGTGGCTAAAAGTATAGTGAAAATTGAAATACATTTAGCCACAGACCGCCGTGGTTAAAGAGTATACTGAACTCTGATATACTATTTAGCCACAGACCGCCGTGGCTAAAAAGTATACTGAAATCTGACATACTATTTAGCCACAGACCGCCGTGGCTAAAATGTATACTGAAATCTGATATACAGATAGCCACAGACCGCCGTGGCTAAAAAGTATACTCAAATCTGACATACTATTTAGCCACAGACCGCCGTGGCTAAAAACTATACTGAAATATGACATACTAGTTAGCCACAGACCGCCGTGGCTAAAAAGTATACTGAAATCTGACATACTATTTAGCCACAGACCGCCGTGGCTAAAAAGTATACTGAAACCTGACATACTATTTAGCCACAGACCGCCGTGGCTAAAAAGTATACTGAAATTTGACATACTATTTGTACAGACCGCCGTGGCTAAAGAAGTATACTGAAATCTGACATACTATTTAGCCGCAGACCGCCGTGATGGCTAAAGGTATACTGAAATATGACATGCCTATTTGTACGGACCATAGGTATTTTAAAGGTATCTGCTGAGAATCTGACATTACTATTTATACAGACCGCCCGTGGCTAAAAGTATACTGAAATCTGATATACAGATAGCCACAGACCGCCGTGGCTAAAAAGTATACTGAAATCTGACATACTATTTAGCCACAGACCGCCGTGGCTAAAATGTATACTGAAATCTGATATACAGATAGCCACAGACCGCCGTGGCTAAAAAGTATACTGAAATATGACATACTATTTAGCCACAGACCGCCGTGGCTAAAATGTATACTGAAATCTGATATACAGATAGCCACAGACCGCCGTGGCTAAAAAGTATACTCAAATCTGACATACTATTTAGCCACAGACCGCCGTGGCTAAAAACTATACTGAAATATGACATACTAGTTAGCCACAGACCGCCGTGGCTAAAAAGTATACTGAAATCTGACATACTATTTAGCCACAGACCGCCGTGGCTAAAAAGTATACTGAAACCTGACATACTATTTAGCCACAGACTGCCGTGGCTAAAAAGTATACTGAAATTTGACATACTATTTAGCCACAGACCGCCGTGGCTAAAAAGTATACTGAAATCTGACATACTATTTAGCCACAGACCGCCGTGGCTAAAAAGTATACTGAAATATGACATACTAGTTAGCCACAGACCGCCGTGGCTAAAAAGTATACTGAAACCTGACATACTATTTAGCTACAGACCGCCGTGGCTAAAAAGTATAGTGAAATCTGACATACTATTTAGCCACAGACAGCCGTGGCTAAAAAGTATACTGAAATCTGACATACTATTTAGCCACAGACCGCCGTGGCTAAAAAGTATACTGAAATCTGATATACAGATAGCCACAGACCGCCGTGGCTAAAAAGTATACTGAAATCTGACATACTATTTAGCAACAGACCGCCGTGGCTAAAAAGTATACTGAAATCTGACATACTATTTAGCCACAGACCGCCGTGGCTAAAAAGTATACTGAAATCTGACATACTATTTAGCCACAGACCGCCGTGGCTAAGAGGTATACTGAAATCTGATATACAGATAGCCACAGACCGCCGTGGCTAAAAAGTATACTGAAATCTGACATACTATTTAGCCACAGACAGCCGTGGCTAAAAAGTATACTGAAATCTGACATACTATTTAGCCACAGACCGCCGTGGCTAAAAAGTATACTGAAATCTGACATACTATTTAGCCACAGACCGCCGTGGCTAAAAAGTATACTGAAATCTGTTATACTTTTTAGCCACAGACCGTCGTGGCTAAAAGTATAGTGAAATCTTATATACTTTTAGCCACAGACCGCCCTGGCTAAAAATCTGATATACATCTGCGTACGGGCCTAGTCTTATTTTGTGGGGTGGGGGGCACTGTATAGTTTGCCCGAACAGGCAAAATTAACATTAATATTTCTCCCCAAAAATGTTAGCGAGCGGGGGGGGGGTTACCAAATATTTTTTTCGGGACATAACAAAAAAAAAATTTTCGTGACATACCAAAAAAATTTTTCGTGACATACGAAAAAATAAGAAAATTTTCCCGGACATATCAAAAATGTTCCCTAACATTACGTAATTTCCGAAAACATACCAAAATTTTTTCACTTCATATCATTTTTTCCGAAATTTTTATTTTGGCCGAATGTCGCATTGATTTTTGCCCGACCGCAGAATTTTTTTTTCGGGGGGGGGGGGAAGGTGCACGTGTCAGCAATTTCTCAGGAAAAGAAGATCATTAAAACGCTTCCCATCACTGAAACTATGTTTTTTCCATGTTTTTCTTTCTCTCTTGTATTTTGATTGGAATTGTGCGAAATGCAAATATGGCGCCGCGATGATCGGGTCCCGGCCCCGGGTCCCTAGTTCGCAGTCTGGACAGACTGAATTGTGAATTGGGCCAACAGCTTGTAATTTGGATGTACAGCTTTGCAGAGGGTCCTGACGGGGTAAAATGGGAACTGGGATTTGCTCATTTTTGGGTGGGAAAATGGGATGTCATGCACTGGGACTGGGATTCATCAGCAAAAAAACAATAGAAAATGGGAATGGGATTAAGATTTGAGCAGGCCAGCCACTGAGATGATGGGATTTGTGCTCTGAGACAATGGGATTTAGTCACAATTTGGGCTGGGAAATGGGAATACGATGCCCCCTTCAGGACCCTCTTTGCAGACATGGACCTGCAGCTGTTCTCATTGAAATTTTGAATAACAGGTTGTGTCATTATGGCGTATTTGGTTGAATATCATGTGATATAAACCAAAATATTACTAACTTTAACAGAAATTACTAAAAAAATTACCAAAAATTTTCAATTACCAAAAAAATAAAATCGCGAAATATTACCAAATTAAAGTAAATAAAATTACCAAATCTGGTCACACTGGAGGTTGTGTCCATAGTTGTGTCATTCTAAAATAGCTCGGAATTTGTCGACTTGCGTCGTATAGTCCCGAGATCCCGAAGAAGTGCCGGGCTTTTCCGAATTTTAATTTTTTTACCGCGTGGTGAAGAAATATGTGGAGAAGCAAGGAAAAATTAAAATGGAGGACATTTTTTATCAAACTTTATACCTTTATTGGAAGGTAATATGCTTTATTTAATATCAAACCTTATAGTAGAGTACTTAGATTGCCAATATAGATGGAAATTTAGGACATCGAGCCCGAATTTAATGCCAGATTTCGACATAAAGTTTGTGCTTTTGCTTTGCACGTGGTTCGATTTTCTATAAGCGATTGTCGAACTTTAAACCAATTTTAATTCATAATTATTGTCGATCAAGTGAGTAAAAAGACTAACTAAGATCAAGAAATGTTTAAATTGTTTAAGAAAATTTTGATATTATTAAAATGCCATATACAGAGACGAGGCGCTTGATGGGACGAATATTTCAAAATATTTTTACAATATGGCCAGAGTGAATTTGAGGGTGTATTTCCGAAAGATCTTCGGCGCAGAACAGCGGCTCGAACAAAGTTTGGCGCAAATTTTTGGCGCAGATTGATCGCAATTATTGATTTGGCGCAGAATGATCAGGCAAAGATTTCATGAAGCAATTGACCATTTATGTAATAGTATATTTGAAATTATGATTTGAGAAGAATGAAAAGCCAAATTTCGAAAATTCGGCGAAAATTTCGGATATTTCCGAAAACCGCATATTTTTTCGCGACAATTTTCTTGGCGCAGGTTTTGGCGCAGCTTTACATGAATTCGAAAATCTTTGGCATAGGCTTGGGCGGTTTACCGGTTTTTCGTTTTTTTCCGGTTTTATTTTTAAACCGGTTTTTTCGGTTTAGCTTTTACAAAAACCGGAAAACCGTCATTACGAAATTGTTTACTGTCAACGCCCGAAACTCGATCCTAATTCTCAAAACATGACACTAATTAAACACAATTACATGACACTAGATACAAATTATGTTCTTTTCCCGTAAAGTCGGTAAGAACTAAAGAGGTATAAGTTTTCAAATGCGTTCTTGACCCTTTTATTTTAAAACCGAAGTCGTTTTAGGTTACCTTTACACAATTTTGCATTTTGTCATGTTCTGTTCGTTTGTGCTTATGTCAAAAAAATACCACAATTCCTCCTCATTCAGTTGAAATACAAATTAAAGGGAAAAACCGGTTTTCCGGTTTTACCGGTTTAGAATCAGACGGTTTTTCGGTTTTGATTTTAAGCAAAACCGCCCAAGCCTACTTTGGCACATCTTAAGCTCATCTACTCCAGGCCCAAAAATTTGCACTAGTAGCATATTTTTGACATGGGCTGGCAAGGATTCAGAGAATGCTAAAAAATTAAAAGCATATTAAGTTGACTATTGGGACAGCAGATACCTGAAGTTGAAATGAAGTTGGAAAAAAATTCCAATCAAATTTTACCATTTCCAATTGGTCAGCATTTTTCGAATCTATTTTGAACATTATGCACTAGTCATTTGAAATACCGACCCCCAGGACTAAGTGGGGTTTTAGCAGGGGAAATACAGGATTTTAACAAACATTTTCTAGTAGCCGGGGTCTTAACACTAGCAAGAAGCAGTGGGGCACATGTGCTGGGTTTCAACTACCAGGTTTTAACCACCATTTTAACATGCGCTTGGAGTAGAGTCTGAGAACTAATTAATGTATCGCATGTTTTTATGGTCCAACATGGACATTGAAGATGACTTTCAGACGATCTTTTCTTATTCAATATTCACTTTATTTTCTAATTTCTACTGTGAAAATCAGAGGAAATTGAACCTAAAACCTTCAATTTCATCTCGGAGATGGGTTTTTCAAGACTTTCAATAACTGAATTGTATTTTTGAGCCAGGTTTTTTAAATTAAGTTCATGAAATGTTAAAATCCCTGCATGGTCCCAGGCAGGCCTGCATAATAGGCCTGAGGTTTGCAGAAAAAAATGGAGGGTTAAACTTAAAAGACTCAAAAGAAAGAAAGGAAGAAAATAAGAAAAAATGACATAATTGAATAATAAGCTGTAGGTAGTGAACTGGTGATGTTTGCAACATGCAAGTAATACAAGTTTCCAATATACCGGTATAGGAGGCTCTCCAGCAGCCTGATACTATGGTCAAAGACAGGCAGACAGCAGTCTAGCAGATATTAAGATGAAATCCTCTATGCAGTTATAATTGATTTCATCTAGTATATTAGCTACTTCTGAAAATACCACTCCAGTTATATAATGAATACAACTCATTTAACAACTACCATATGTGGATTAAAAAGTCTATGAGTGTGGTGATTTCTTACAATGTAGTAAAAAATCTAAGCAATATGGTCCAATACACAACAGCCTTCCGCCCTTCTCATGAACTTTCATCCATTAAATTAAGATGATATTCATAACAAATATATTAAAAATATAAGAATCTAGAATCTTAAACTGCAGACAGTTCCCATTGGTCATTAAAATGTAAATGTTTGTTGTTAAATTAAAATATAAAGAATATTTATTCTGTAGCCATGTTGAAATACGTCTACCCTGCTGGCAGTGGTTTCGGAGCTGAGGAGAAACCACTGTGAGCAAACAAACGACTTTCTATCGAGCATGCACAAAGATCACAGGGTGGGACAATACTAATTTGACTTCATTTGCTGTAGTTTGACAGTTTGTTATCTGTACGTAAAAAAGTGTGGCATAGTACTGTTTTCTTTGTTGTCTGTCTGACTTTTTATTCTACATGCAGTTTACAATTTACTACTAAAAGATTTTGAAATCGGTGCCTCACCGCTACAAATTGTGCATTTGAATTTCTGTTATATCTTTTTCAATTTTTGTATTTATCTGATCAATATCAATTTTTTAAATTCGGTCTGCAAACTTTATTTGTGTTAAGGTTTTCGATAAATTCCAATTTCCAAAGTTTCCAAATAATATAATAATATAATAAGGTTTCCAATTATTGTTGATTTTGACAATATTGCAATTTTTGATTGTCGCGACCTCAACCGCTACAAATTTCAACTGATGAAAGATTGTCACGACGGCACTACTATTTCTGTAAAAGGTGTTGATTTTTTGTTGCAGTGTGCGAATTTATAGTTACTCTGTCGAACTGTATAGGCGGTTTTCAAGTCATCTTAATGTATAATTTCAAACATTTTATTTAATTTTAAAGTTATAATATTTTGTAAAAGGTAGTGCATATATGGCTTGTTACTATATTTAGAGCGTGATCATGTTGTTTTAGTACAACTGGCTCGCATTTTACTAGCAATGCCAATCAGTTACCCATGCGCACAATAAGGAAAACTTGTCAAACTTGTTTTACTGGTTTCTCATTTAATGTATTTGTCCATGAATCTGGACGGTGGCTACAATGAAACGATCATTCGTTTGCTTGCAGTGGTTTCTCCTAGCAGCTCAGCTAGAAACCACTGCTAGCTGGGTAAAATACGTCTATTATGGTTTCAAATCTAATGAAATGGTGCATAGAATACACCGAACCTTGTTTAGTGATGATCAAATTTAACAAAGATTCACATTGTTTGCGTGCAGAAAATATTTTTGTTGGCTTTGTGGTCCCAGAAAATAAAATATTTTATGCAGCCCTGATCTCAGGGGGCAGGGTTTCAAATGACTAGTGCAGAAGAAACACTATGTGGTTCAGCTTTCATATCCTGAAAAAAGTAGGATGGGTACATGTAGCTCAAATAAACAATTTTTTTCAAATATTTTTTTGCCTTGACATTGGTCGGCAATTGCTGTGATCAGTTGGCATCCAGGTGATCTCGTGTTCGTATTTTAGCCAATCAGCGCTCAGAAAGGGTTGTCCGAATAGAAATCCATTTTGATGTATTCAGTCAATTATATCTTTCGTTATTCTTTATGAAGCTAGTTGAAATTTTGTAATTATGTTTGGTTATGAGAACTATAGCTCTGACAAAAATTTGGAATCGAAATAAAGTATATTACAGGAGATATTCAGTTGTTTTAATCATAAAATGGATTTCTATTTGACAACTAGTGCCAGTACTTTTCCGAGTATCAAGATCACCTGGATATTGCCACAGCATATAAACATCTCAAGAAGCAGTAACTGTGGGCAACAGACAGTGTTTTTGTTACTCACATCTTATTTAAGTTACATCATAAAGCAAACAACAAAAAATAGGGTACCGTAGGCACTAGGCAGGTAAGCAAACAACCCACATCTCGAGAAAAAAATAGAGCAAAGAGAATAGGGTTGGCTAGAAAACCAGAACCATAGGATATTGTTTTGTTTCAGACTCTGATGTTTATATTACTAGCCAAGCTATTCACACCCTCGGTAAAATTCTCATCAATTTTTGTAGATGTACAAAAAAATTTCCAAGAATGCCACAACACCTCATGATTATGAAAAATGGACACGTTCCAGGATCCTGAATGAGAGGTAAATTATTTTTCTTCTAATTATTTCTAACCTTCTCCTTTTAAATTATTTCTTGGACAATTTTTCTTCATAATATATCAATTTGTTTCATGTTCTCAATAGCGTGTTTTTTTAATTTTCTAGATGTGTGTTGCAATTTCAAAGAATGTCTCAAGTTGTTGGCCGAAGTGTTTTTGATCACAAAAATGAACACTGTCATTGGAAAGTATATAAAAGGTCTTAATATTTTCCTGTTTTATCTTACATGAAATGTTTTCAACATTATATGATTGTCTGTGATCAATAGTTTCAAAAATCCCAGCAGATTATTGTAAAAATAGCATTGACCATGTTACTTATTGCGCAAAATACAACAAAAGTAATAAATACAATCTTTACACCTAAATATGGTGAGTGCACAATAATTGCACTCTTTTTATTCTATTATTACACCACTATTTTGATTTGTATTTCAGTTTTGTGGTTTCTTGATTAAGTTTTTTGTTGCCACTTTCAGTTTTGTGGTTTCTTGATTAAGTTTTTTGTTGCCACTGATCACAGAAAGTCTATAATTCTGAAATCATATATAAGCACTTCTGCACTTATGAGCAAGCCAGAAAATGACAAACAGTTGGCTTTGTTATATCAGTTCAGCATTGAGAAGATTGAGGTGGTTTTTATTACAAACCAAAGTGGTTACTTACAAATAAAACATGTGACTTTATTAATTTTAATTCACGATTGAGTATTTTCGTATAGTAGTTTTTTTTCATTAAAAGGATTAAAAGAACATCAATTGATGAACATTTGTCTCATCACAATTTGTGTTTTGAACTTAACGAAGTGCATTGTGAAAACAGTAAACTTATGTTAATCCATCTCAGTCTTCTCTTTGTTCAAGTGGACTTTCAGTGTTTGTTGAAAGTTTGGAAAGTTTATCTGAAAATCACAATCACTAATGTTTTTTTCGATGTTGATTCTGGATGTTATTCGACTCTTTAAATATTGAGTCCTAAAAAGCAATTATTGATTGATTGAAGTATTCAATACTTTTAAAATTAGCACTGATGGAACTGCCTTGTTCTTTAATAGTACTGTTTTATTTATCCCAGCACACTCTTAATACATGAGTTTGATTATTCCTGGACACAAATACAATGGATTTGTTGAGGAACAAGGCAGTTCCATACAGTACTGACTTATAGAAGGGTTGTCTTCTTCAGTTATTTTATTCTTGTGTCAACCACATTGTCATTTAAAACAAAATTTGAATTTTGGAACAAACTTTCCGATTTTTTAAAATACTTTCCCAAATTTAACAAACAGTTAAGGTCAAAATAAGGTAGGAGATTGCCTTTACTTTATTACCAAGTGGAACTTATTTGAATATGGATGAACATCATGAACTGAAGCAGCAAACTATACGTAATTTTTTTTTTTTTGGGGGGGGAGGGATAATGTGAGATATAGAAAATGAAAGAAAAGTGATTGTCATGAATGGGAAGGAAAACCACAGCCAGACTACAGGATGATGTTCTTTGGAATATGTTTTGTATTATAAGGAAGCAAAAACAATCAGCATTCAAAAATATATATTAATTGTTTGGCAAAGCAATGTCATAATTTGGAATATTGAGGCTGCAGATAAGATTGACAGTTCTAGCTTTGTGCTAGGTGTTAATCAATGTATAATCTGATAAGATTTGAGTCAAAATTCAAGCACAGAATTAACCATATTTTTAGTATTTATCAAAATTTGTGTGTGTTTCATCACAGACATGATAGGCAATGACTGAGATGCTCTTTATGTACCAAATTTTATAATTTGAATAAAAAGTTCTATATTTTTAAAATTTTATTTTGATTTAAATAATCTGACCTAATTAGTTAATTAAGGTGAAATTTTTAAGCTTGAATTTCATATTTTATTTTGAATCCGATTCAATTACTTTTGTACTTTGGTTTGGATACTGAGATGACAAGATTTTATCAATTTTTTATTGACCGGTTGTGGTTGATAATTGTTTGGTAATTAAAATTAATTTATTAGTTTTCTATGTTACATGTATTTATTTTGCTTCAGTTCAGCATTGTTTTCAAATAGTTCCACTTTGTAATGGTGTGTTATAATAGTCAATAATAATATAAGCAAACAGGTTTACATGGCACTCAAATGTGTAGCCGGTCTTTTCAACGAGTATGTAAAGGTAAGTTTATACTTCAAAAAGGTCTGTTTTTAACCTGACAAGCATGCTGTCCAAAGTGAACTAAAACTCAATCTTTGTGACCTTTCAATGAAATTTCATATGTTCAAATGACAACTGCTACTACTGTATATATCTTTTGATGTTTGGTTTGCTGTTGATACTATAGAATTGATGAAAATGCAATTATATAATATTTTATTTGTTGAAAGAGATTCTAAGATCAAGGATTGTGTGGAAACTGTTTGTTCCTTGTGAGGACTTTGAGCAAAACTGTTTGTTTACTCTTGAGTTAGCAAAATATACCCAAAACTTATTTCCTGTTTTTTATTGTGTAAAAACATGAATAAGCTTTTTTCCAATTGAAAAATTTGGTTTCGACCAATACAAATAAAAGTGTAAAAAAAAGAAAATATTTTATGAACAATTGAAAGTTTGGTTCAACATATTTGGTGTATTTCTGTACATGGTCGCTACATGTTTTGCATCAAAAATATTTCCTGAATAGTTTTTTTTTTCATAAGTGAAATTTAGGAGATGTTTGTTTCTAAGATCATGGATCAATGTGTATCATTTTAATGTATTTATCGAGGACGAGAAATGTACCATTTTTCTAAGCAAAGCAAATTGAAACTGAATATTTGTTCGGAAAAATCAATCATAATTGGAGGAATAACATTCTTTTAATTTGTTGAACTGCATTTTCATCACTTGAATTAGTATTAACATTATATACAAACAATTCGAAGTCGTCAGGTTAAAAACTAGATATATGGCTCCGAAAGACCGCGGAATAATTTCAAATTTTAAATATTTCTTGATTTGGCCAATGAAAGAAATATTCTTGTAAATGTTCAATTGAGTATGGAACCAATGATTTAGTCGTAAATGTTTCGATGTTAAAAATACCATTTCTGAGTTTAATGAAGTATGCTGTCAATGCATTGTCAAAATGTTAAGGCACTTTGAGGAAAATAATTTGCTTGAAGCAATGAAATTTGTTGTCAAGCACAATTTCTTGCCAACCACTTGACAACTGATCTCGCATTACAACGAATGGACTTAACTTGGCATCTAAACATCGCGATAAAATTATTATTTTCCATACTCAAGCGAAAATGTTGGTCTGTTCACTAAAATCAGTTTGTGTTAAAAAAAGCATGTTCGATTTATACTTTCGTCTTTGAGCCATATATTTTCTTTGCAAAACAACTTGGTGTTACGCTTTTGATTTCTCAATGTAAAGTTTATCATTGGAGTTGTTTTACAATATTTATTTTGAAGTATAAACGTTTATCTTGAAAAGACCAGGTTCTCTTGTTTCCTCAAGAATTAACTTTTTTAATGTTAATTCGTGGGCAAACAAGTTTTTTAATGTTGTGTTTTCACTTGTGCTTATTCACTTGTGTTGAACACAATGTTAATTGTTCTCTTTGTGCCATGTTCTGTTTTCTTCTATTGTTATTATTTAAATAAGTATGCAGTGGTTGTTCTCTTTTTATTGGTATTCAATTTGTAATTACAATTCTTTTCAATAAATTGTTCATTAATTATACACGTGACTCCTTTTTAATTAAAAATTCAATTCCCATGGGAATTGAAAAAAAAAATTAAAAAAATTCCCCTACCCCGGCCGGCTCCCCAAGTGCTACCTCTACTTCAAGCAGAAGTACTTCTACTATGCAGTAAAAGTACTTCTACTTAAAGTAGAGGTAGCACTCAGAGAGCCAGCCGGGGTAGCGGGGCAAAGAGAAGACCAACCTAGCAAATGCTAAATAATGCAAATTGCTTAGTCGATCTTCTCTTGAGAGCAGCCACGCGCATACCTAGCAAATGTAAAACAACAAGCATTAGTAACAAATACTCGGCATGCAAATTTTGAATCCCATGGCCGAAATGACAAGTGCCCCCCATTGATTCCTACCAACTGCCTACCTGCCTCAGTCCTAAGCTGTCTGCCTCAGTCCTAAGCTGTCTGCCTTGGTCCTAAGCTACCTGCATTCCATTCGTAACTTCCGCTTTCCTCACCATCACACAGACACTCACAACTGCCCAACCTGCCACCAGCCCAAACTGCCCACCCTTAAAACTGAAGGAATTAAAATTTTGGTAAAGTATACATAATTCATTTAATTAATCGGATATTTTAGGCCAAACGTAAACAGATAAATTAAAGGTTGACGATCAGAAGAAAGACCTCGTATACAAACAGGTGAGTTTCTTACTTGCCTCTATACATGCAATTTGCATAGAAAAATATACGAGACCTCGAAATCCGGATATTTCCTTCTATATGCTTTATTAGCAGACTATAAGTTTAGTTAAATTTTGCTGATGTTAGGAAATTAGTCCTTTTGTTCAGAAAAGATATTTTCCCTTTAAATATGCTCTCAAAATTTTAATTCCTTTAGTTTAACCTAACCCCATGCATCCTATACACACGGCGCACACTCTCGCACTCCATACATTTAGCTAATAAATTACGTTATAAACAAAAAAGCAAAATAAAAAGATAAATTACATTATCACTAGCTGTCCTATAACCCACTTAGACTGAGTTTTGGATTCTGGTTCGAAACG